TGACAGCTCGGATTTGATTCTGGATTCTACAGGAGCTGGAGACACACAGTTGTTTCTCCCGCCCTTGTCTTATTTACAATCCAAATTCCATGGAAATATTTAAAACATGCAGGAGAATCACCCAGTGCAAAGCTCATTTTCAGTCCTGCCTCTGAGACTAGCACCTAAAAAATACTGTCATGTAGCAAAAAATGCCAGGGGCAGATTTCTGGGGCTGTTCCACACTCCTGCACGGCACACGGGCTCCAGGGAAGTGCATCCATTTGGGGAACAACAGAGCTGCTAATTATGGAAATAAAAATGTGGGAGTATATTGTATCCCACAGCTCCTACTCGAGTATAAAAATACAGATTTGAAAACTCTGGATCCCAGACCACCTACAAATCCAGACCTGCCCCTAAGGGAACCATGTCCCATCCTGGGAATTGCACACAGCAGTAATCAAAGCAGCAGACACTGTCTGATCCTTGGATCACAGCAGCAGCTGCAGGAATATTTAAGAGCAAATAGAGCAATGGGAATTCCTACAAGGTTTGCTCACCAACCCCATCGCTCCAACTGCTGCAATTCAGTTAATCACAGACATATTTAGCAACGTGGAAATGCAAACAACTGTTAGACTTCAGAGTTAGCACAGATTGGAGGCAGCCCACACTTCCCAGAGGAAGGGAACGGTGGCTGCACACTCTGGTAACACTTTCCTAAGGTTATGGACTGAATGTTCTGGGTTTTCCCTGAAAACCCAGTACTGCTCAGTGACCAACCACCAGCCACAGCCAGTCAGACCATCCATCCAGGAGGAATTTCCTCATGGAAGGGCTGGCAGGCACTGGAAGGGGCTCCCAGGGAGGTTTGGAGTGCCCAGCCCTGGAGGTGCCCAGGGAAGGACTGGCTGTGGCCCTCAGTGCTCTGGGCTGGGGGACAAGGTGGGAACAGGGCACAGGGTGGATCCATGGGCTGGGAGGACTTTTCCAACCTCAATGATCCTGTGATTTAATGTGCACTGGGTGTTCTGCCAGAGGGACAACTGACACTCCGGATACCATTCAAGGTCCATTCTCCTCTCCTCCTCCTTGGGATTGCTCCAAAGGATCCCAGAGTGTGGGTGACATTCCCCCCTGCACAGAGGGCTTTGCTGGCCAGGGAACCCTTTGGTCCAAGGATGCAGCTCCACAAATGCTGCAGCTGAAACTGTGCTGGAGAAAAGTTACCCTGGGAAAAGGAACCCCGTGGGTGAGATTAAGAAGGGCTGTAGGAACAGGACCATGGGCAGGACACCAGGACCACCATTGCCAAACCTCACAGGAGGCACAACACAGCCACTGATGCCACAAGCAGCCCTGGCCTCCCACTCCCATCTCATCTGCAAGGCAGCAGGACATCCCTGGACACGGTGTCCTGCAGCCAGGGCTGGGATCAGACTCCTGGAGAGCTCAGTTCCATTCTGCTGCAGGGCTGTTCTCCTCCTCTGCAGGTTTGCCCAGCCAAGCCCACATTACCTGCTGGAGCCTCAGGAGGTCTGGAAGCTGAAGGGCACCCACAGACCTGTCCAGTTACACAGCAGCCAACCCTCAGAACTGCAACTTTGACACACTGAGCTTCCACTTACCGAATTCCCAAATCCTTGTTGCTGTTCAGTATCCAGTGCAGGGCAGCTTCAAACTTCTGTGGGGAGCTGCCAGTAACATTCTGTGCGAGGAATCCATAAGAAGATTAGTTCTCCATTCACTTAAAATACTGAACAACATTATTTCATTACAGGAGTGGGAGAATTCCTTCCATATGGTCTGTCCCCAGGTTAATTCTTATCAGAATTCTGCAAACTGGAGGAAGGGGAACTAAGCCTGAAGGTCTGCCTGGACTAGAGTCTCCTGACTGGGCAGATGATGCATGAAGCACTCTGTGAAATAACACCATCCCAGACTGTTAGGACTAACCACTAAATACAACATAATCTTACTGACAGTTTACCAGGAAAGAAATGGAATGCTAGATCAGAGCACTCTGTCTCCTGACACTTTGGGGTATAGAAAAATCCTTCTTCTGCCCAGCCCTCAATGCAGGGAAATTTCTGGTTTCACAAGACTGATGGCTCCGGTGAAACAACAAACCATTAAGTTAAGATTTACAGGGGCTGAATCACAGATGGAGGAGAAAATGATTTTCAAAAGAACTGCTGAGAACAGGACTGGCCAAAGGGGAAGGGAGAGATATGGGATAGAATCAAACCAGGATGAGGGAGCAGAACGGATGGTGAATTGCTTTAGTGTCTATTATTTATTGCCTTATAAGAGACTGAGCACTAGGTCATAACAAAGCTGCTCACAGCCCACTCACCATCACGTGGTCCTTCGCCTCACTAACCCAAATGCATTTGCTTTTTAGATTCTCAGGGTTTCCACATTCGAAATTACCTGGTAAAAAAGTCAAATAGAAATAACGTTTGGAAAAAAGCCCTTGAACAGCTCAGAAGCACACTCTGAATGTACACCAAGAAATACTCTCCTTTCCAATCAGCTCCAGCCCTCAGCAGAATGACTCCAAGGTGAGATTTATACTGCAGGCAGATCAGATTATGACTATTAATAAAATGCTCAGCCACTGCACGTAGGTTAGATAAGGGCAATCAAACCACACTTTGGAGCTGCTGTTGGATAAGGGCAATCAAAGCTCACACTTCAGAGCTGCTGAACACAGAATGAGGGGGAAAATCCTGTCTGTGCCCCTTGCAGAGCACAGAGCCTTGTCTGGGCCCTGGTGCCCTGCAGAGGGGCTCCTGCCACCAGGGATCAGGGACTGCAGAGTGCAGCTGATGACTAGCATTCAAAATGCTCCCAAGGAGCCTAAATCACAGCTCTGCCTTCCACCCAGGCACAGAAATGCTGGCGAGGAACTAAATCCTCTAAAACTTGCCTCACCAAGTTGACTAAACAAATGTGCTGAGAGACTGAGTAAATCTGGTGGAAATCCGGCAGCTGCCCGAGTCAGATTTGAAAAGATTTAGGAATTATGTGCAGCTTCAGTATCCAAAGCCTCCAGCCTTGAGGTCTGAAATACAGAAAATGGAACTGAAACACTTTTACTGATTACCACTGCTATGGATCTTGCTGAACAAGTCTCCACTCATGCACTGGATTTCTAGCAGCCTTCTCCATCCCAAAATACCAGTGATGGGCTGGATTTACTCAATATAGCAGAGACTGAGCTGACTGAACCCAGCTCAGAGAGCCTCTGTGGTGAGAGAAGAGAGAGGCACTCACACATCTGCTGCCACATTTCAGCAGAAAATGACAATTTCTTAAGCCACTTTTACTTTGTTTGTAACAACACACCAGCTTACACTTAATGGCTCTGAGTGCCCTGAAGACAATTTCAAGATGTTGGTAGAATCATAAAACCGACTATTTCTACCTCAAATTCCCAGCATGTCAAGTGCAAACAAGGCCCACTCAGCAGGGCAGAGCGATACGAGAGCATCAGCACTAATCAGAATAAAAATAACCCCACCTTTCCCTGTTTTCCTATTACCTGAGTTCCTCAGAGCTCTTCAAAGGGAACTGACTGTTCCAGAAACCACTCTCTCCAAAGTGAGGGTAAAAGCCAGCAGCCAGCTGGGAGAGGCAGCTCCTGCATGCCCAGGAGTTCTGGGAGTGCCTGGACTCACCTGCCTGCACGGACAGGTAGTTGTAGAGCTCGTGCAGCACGGCCATGGTCATGTCCCTCTGCTTGGCCTGGCAGAACTGCTGGCAGAGACAGGAGCACACGTGAGCAGTGGCAGTGGGGCAGGGGGAGAGCAGCTGCAGACCCCACACAGAGCAGCAGGGCAGCCTGGCTCAGTCCTGCCCCACCAGCTCCCACCAAACACACCCACAGCACACACTGGCAGGTTCCAAAGGTGACCTGGGGAGTCCTCTGCAAGTCCCTGCCCCTGCAGGGGGTGGAACTGGGTGAGATTTAAGGTCCCTCCCAGCCCAAACCAGTCTGGGATTCTGGGATTCTCCAACATACCACCGCCCAGCCCAGCCCAGCCTGCAGCACCAGCCACCCCTGGGATGGATCCCCTGTCCCAGAACATCCCAGCCACCAACCAGGACTCAGAATCCAACAGGAAATGTTCTCACTCCCAATCACAGAATCCCAGACTGGTTTGGGTGGGAAGGGACCTTAAAGTTCACCTCGTTCTGCCACGGGCAGGGACACCTTCCACCATCCCAGGGTGCTCCAAGCCCCAGCCTGGCCTGGAACACTCCCAGGGATGGGGCAGCCACAGCTTCCCCAATAATCCATCCTGACAGAGGAAACAAGCTGTGCAGACACTCTGTTCAGGGAATTAGCTGGATTAAATCTTGTACTGTTAAAGCTGCAAACAGCTTTATTGCAAACCAATATCACTCCTGGTACAACTGTTAAAGAAATTGATTCACATAATTGGGAATTTAAATTTTTATCTTTCGGAGTCTCATACACATTCCTAATTTAATCTGGCCCATTAATTCCAACCCATCAAGTCCCAAGTTTTCTGTAAAATGATAGAACTAATCATTTTACAGTGATACTGCTATGGGTGGATGTTACATAGAATAATCACTGTTCTGTGAGAATCCCCAAGACCTGAAGATAAATAAATAAATGCTTACATCATCCGTGCTTTTGTCACAATCCACAGGCAAGAGATTAACTACGAGAGAGAAGAGGGTGAGTTAGCTGGCTGCAAGTAAGAGCTTTGATCAAGAGAGTAATTATCTTTTAAAAGAAGGTTCTGCTTTAAAGCCTGATGCTGCTGTTGTTAATCTCCCTCGGGCAGCACCTTGCAATGCAAATGGCCTGTTCAGGAGCTGCTCTGGGAGAGCACTGGAGAAAAACAAATAAAAAGGTGCCAGTGATGAATCTGGTCAGCTGGGAAGTAAAAACTGGGGCTGGACAGCTCCTGTTTGAGGAGATGCTTCACACCCCTTCCCACTGATCTTTACACCCCAGTGATGCCACTCCTGCCCACCACAGTCACCTGAAGCATTCTGGTGCACCAGAAATCCATGACATTGGGCAGTCCTGACTTTGGGAACACAGCAGCTTTCCCAGCCCATGCAAAGGGCACAGTGGGAGGAGGCTCAGGACCAGCACCTTCCCAACTGCCCCCAAACCCTTCCACGTTCAGCTCAAAGCCATGACATGTCCATATTTCCAGCTCTTCCACCCGGGAAACTCTGCTTTAAAATCAGGTGGGGGGGAAGCCCCTTTCCATTTCTCATGGAAGCTCTGTCACATTTTAAGTGCCCAATTCATTCACTGCCCAGGATGAAGGCTGGGAAGGGCTGAGCCAGCAGAGGGAACATGGAAAGCACACACTGGGTGTTACAGAGACATTGTGTTCTCCATCCTTGGCCTAGCAGGAATCCATAAAATCCATCCCTGGCCTAGCAGGAATCCATAAAATCCATCCTTGGCCTAGCAGGAATGGCACTGCCCATAAACCCCACGGTTCTGAGGAACTGAAGGCCAAGCTCGTTTCGAAAAATCACCCACTTGACTTGCTTTCCATGGCTGAGGTTTCCCATGGGCAAGGGGAGATGGAAACGGGGACAGAGACAGAGATGTCAGGTCAGAGCAATGAGAATGATAAATATGACGGTGATAGAAGCAACAAAGGTAAAGCAGGAGGAAGGTGAGGAATAGAGTTTAAATCAGAATTAAAGCCGTGCACGTACAGCTCTCGTCTCTCCTGTCCAGCCAGCCTGACCCAACCATCTTCACCACGAGGATGCCCAGAAAAATGAGGAGCAGCACTAAGCTGGCAAGGCAGAGGAACTGGGAGAGGTAGTATTCCAGGCCTTTTCCCTTGCCCTCGGGCTGCTGCCGGGGGCCCGAGCGGAGCAGGGCAGTGCGGGGGGTCACCCCGTACCCCCCATCGCTGGACGCCCGCCACGGGAAGCGTCGGATCAGCCCCCCGGCCCGGCTGCCAGCACTCGCATCCCTCTCTGCCTCCTTGCCAACGCTGGAAGTCAGGTCCTCCTTCCCCCTCCTGAACAGCTGACTGAACCCCCCGGGGGCCGCCGAGGAGCCCCACTGGGTGCTGGGGGTCACCTCATTCTCCCGCCTCCACCAGCTGTTGGAGGAGAGCCCCTTCCTCTCCCCCGCCGTGTCCCAGGGATCCCGGGAGCTCTGGCCCCCGGCTCCCGACGTGCCCCAGTGGCTCCTGGACTTCAGGCCCCCGCTCTCCTCGCTGGGAAGGGGTTTGGAGCCGAGCCCCCCGCTCCTGCCAGCCGAGGAGCCCCAGTAGGGCGTGGAGCTCAGCCCCCCGACCCCATCCGGGGCCGGCCCCGAGCCGGCCCTGAAGCCGAGCCCCCCGCCCCGCTCTGCCGATGGGCTCCACTGGGAGCTGGACCCCCGGGCCCTGTCCAGGGTGGGCCTGAGCCCGCTGCTGAGCCCCCCGCTCCTCTCTGCCGACGTGCCCCACTGCAGCGAGGAGCCCCGCACCCCATCCAGGGCGGCCCCCGGCCCCGTGCTGAGCCCCCGGCTCCTCTCTGCGTTCGTGCCCCAGTGGGACGAGGGGCTGAGCCCCCCGGGCCCGTCCAGGGGCGGGTGAGACCCCCCGAGCCCCCCGCTCCTCTCTATGGACGTGTCCCACTGCGAGGGGGAGCTCAGCCCCCCGTGCCCGGCCAGGGACGCCCCCAGCCCGCCCCCTCCTCTCTCCACAGCCGTCCCCCAGCGCTCCGAGGGGCTCAGCCCCCCGAGGCTGTCCCGGGACAGGCCGCCCTCAGCCCTGTTGCCTCCGCCCCGGCCCGGCGGGGACCCGCGGGGGTCCCCCCAGGCCTGCCCGCCGCCCTCCCTGGACGTCCCCCAGCGGGACGCGGGCGGCTGCCCCCCTTCTTCCTCCTCCTCCTCCTCCTCCTCCTCCTCCTCCTCGCTGTCTCGGGTGTAGCCGGAGCGCTGCCGCGAGGGCGAGGCCTGCTGAGGCCCGGCGGGGGAGCGGCCCGGGCTGGGCGGCGCGGTGCGGCCGCTGCGCCGGGCGGCCGCCACCTCGGCCCGCAGGCAGCCCAGCTTCTTGACGTAGACCTTGCGAGTGGTGGCGGTGATGGGCCCCGGGCGGTAGCCGAGCGCCAGCAGCTCCTTGCGGAGCTCCGCGTCCGTCAGCTCCGCCATGGCCGCGCCAGGCCCCGCCGGAAGCGCCCCGCGGGCGGGAAGCGCCGCCGCCATGTTGGGAGGGGCCCGGCGCGCCCCGGCGCCGCCATCTTGGGAAGGGCAGGCGAGGGAGGAGGGGCGGGCGCCATGTCGGGGAGGTCGAGGGGAGCGCGGCCGCCCTGAGGGACCGCAGGGAACGGGCGGTGGGAGCCGCTGCTCCCCTCGGGACAGGGGAGAAGGGGCGAGAAATGGAGAAAGCACAGGGCAAAAGCAGCCTCAGCGCTGGGGTCGGCCAGTGTCACTGCCCGCGACAGTGGCGGGTCGTCCCCCCTCGAGCATCTCCCACCTCACCCCGACCGAGCCACACCAATGTTTTGACGCTTTTGGGGCCGTTCTCCCCAAAAATGTGTCTTTCCCAGCCATGTGCCGGCCCCACACACATTGCCCTCACCGCTGCCAAGTCACCGCCAGCAGCTGGAGCACGGCCAGGGCCTTCGGTGGGATCCAGGGATGATTCCCAGGAAGGAGGGTCCCCGCACGCTCCACAGCACAAAACAGCAGAACCAAGCGTCGACTTGTAAATTTGCTTTGGCAGGGCAGTGATGTGCAGTAATTGCTTTTTCCTGCTCCCGCCTCTAAAGAAAGTAATGACAGTGGCTGAAATACTGCGGCGTAATATCGGAATTTAATTAAAGATAACGAGAAGGCAGCGATGAATGCACACACGGGCTGGATGTGTGCCGCTGGTTTTGGGATCGAGGTGTGATACCGGAGTGGGAGACGTGCCATGGTCCCTTGGGAGTGGGAGGCTCAGGGGGATGCTCGGCCTGGATGAGACGGGAAGAGCTGAGCTGTGCGTTCCTGACATGAATCCCAGAATCACTGAGGTTACAAAAGACCTCCAAGACCGTTGAGTCCAACCTATGACCAATCCCCACCTTGTCCCCCAGCCCAGAGCACTGAGTGCCACGTCCAGTCCATCCTTGGAACCTCCAGGGATGGAGACTCCACCACCTCCCTGGGAGCCCCTTCCAGTGCCTGACCACCCTTCCCTCCTCGTGTCCAACCTGAACCTCCACTGATGCATCTTGAGGCCATGTCCTTTCATCCTGTTGCTAATCCTTCTTTCGGGACCCTCCTCCTTGTTCAGGGCTCCAAAGTTCACCTCGCTCTCCCCAGTTTATCCAAGAAAGCAGCAACAAGATGCTGAGATTTGTTCATCTGGTTGGCAACAGCAAATATATCCTCAGTAGAGGCCAGGGAGCCCATTACAAGAGCAAACTCAGCTCCACTGGGAAGTGTGAACACACCAAGCTGAGCCTCCCCTGCGCTCAACAGCAAAGCACCACTGACAGCTCATAATGTGGAGCGGGGTCTAATGTAAATAAGGAATTAGAATATTACACAGATTCTGGGAGCTCACAGCTCTCGCTCTGGAGAAGCTCTGCCCAGACATGCAGATCAGTGCTGGCGTCCAAACCTGAGCTGATGCAAACCCAGGAATCACATGAACTCATCTTGTTCTGGAGAAAAAGGGCAACAGCAAAAGCCCCAAACCAATCTTTTCAACTTGAGTTTCTGTCAGTCAGGGAAGTTACTCCAGGCCAGAGTTTGGTCCAGCAGCCTCATTGCATGACCTTTGGAGGGGAGAACATGGGAATGGTGTTGAAGAACTGGAGGATGGGGGAAAAGCTGTGATTCCTCCTCAGAAGGGAGGTTGGCAGGAGAGGAATCCACAACCCTTCTTCCCTAACAAGGGAGCACCCCTGCCTTCCCTGGAAGGTACCTGGAAGGCCCCCATGGGGAAGGCAGCAGGAGCAGAGAGACCTTGTCCTCTCAGCCCACATCCCCACGGACAATCCTTGTTCCTGTCCCCTGCCCACAGTGCCGATGATGAGCCCGGCAGTGGATTTCCTGTTTCTGCAGCCCCCTCATCATCCTCACAGCTCTGGGAGCAGCAGGGGCTGCCGGGAGCTCGGCGATGCTCAACTGTGGAAAGGCAGCTTCCCAGCCCCCGGTGTAGCTCTGAATCTCTTGGCTGTAAATATCCTGGGAAGCTGGGACAGCGAGGAGGGGGCATCCTCCACCTTCCCTGCGAGCCCAGAAGCTGCCTCAGACCCGCTGGCACTGACTCAGATGCCAACTGGGAAGAGCAGCCGTGTGGCACCGTCTGCTCCTCCTCTGGAAGCACCGAGACAGGCCTGGTGTGACAGAGGGACAGGAATAGATCTGCTCCGTGTTCACACAGGGAAGAGGGGAGCGGCTGCACCCCAAAACCCACGGGCAGCAGCTGAGCCCTTCCCCTCCTGACTGATGGGCTGCTGAAACCCCGCCATCCCCCCTCCCCAGCCGTGGCATTTGGGTGACAGTCCCACATATGTCACCGGGGAAGTGTCGAGTCTCACTCGGGAGCCAACTGTGCCGATTTATCACCCTGTCACTCACGGCAGTGGCACAGGTGTGACCCAAGAGCCCCTGTCCTCGCCCTGCTGAGCTGATTATTGTGTTAGAAAGTCAGAGGTGACTCCATTCCCTTCTCTCCTCTTTCCCTGCCTCTCTCCACCAACTGTGGGGCTGCTCATCCCACCACAAAACTCTGGTTTCTGGAGCAGCAAATTCTTCCTACCCGCCTGCAGGTGGGCCTGGGTGCTGCTGCTGCCAAAGCACCTTCCAGGGCACAGGGATACCCATCTGTCCTGCAGCCTGGAGAACATTTCCTTCTTAACCAGAGCTCCCCTGGCAGCAGGAGTTGTGCCTGGGGCGATGGTTGGGATCCATCCCTCTTCTCCTTCCAGCAGACATTCTGCTTCTCCTATTCAGGCCCCTGAGGGTGGAAGGAATTCAATTCCAAAAGCTGGAATTTGTACTTTGGTGCCTGTTTGGACAAGACA